TCCACCACTCTTATGGTCTCACGAGATATGTTCGACGACTCACTCAAAGCCCTTCAGGACGAGGGCTTCCTTACCCTCATTGGCACCAAATTCATACGAATCAACACTTAAACTGTTCACTATTTTTGCATTTTATTACTTTATATTTCAATTGATGATCGATTAATGTCTATTATAACTTGATTTATTGCAAACACTTAATTATATCTTTTAACTATTAATCAATACTTGTATTAATCAAATTTAATTCTTTTAATAAAATAAAATTAAGAAAATTTATGTTGTTTTGTCATTTACTTTGCCTAACATTTATCAAATCTTTCAAAAGAATATTCCTATACGTTATCACAAGAGACTGACTATATATTTGAACAAAATGTCAACTCATCTAAAAAATGTAGCAAATTTTTAATAGCAATGTTGTCTGACTTTATATTTAATTTTATAAATAACTATATTTCTGTATAAATGACACTGGTCAGACTTTTTCTATCATAAGTTCTAGTCTAGAATCTAAAATAAAAAATAATTTATTTGAGAATAACGTAACGGAATCTATGAATAGTTGAGGGAATGGTAAACAAGTGTCGGACGACTTCATTGTCTTTTGAAAGAGTGAAGCAATCGTTGACTGACTGTTGATATGACGGACATCAAGAAGTTGAGGCACCGGTGCTTCTTCGACATCACCATTGGTGACCAAAACGGTATGTCATTGGATTGAATACATGCGGCGAACCGGCGATATCTATGATATGACATCTCTTAACAGTCGGACGAATTGTTTTTGAACTCTTCAACGACGTCTGTCCGAAGACATGCGATAACTTCCGTTCCCTTTGCACTGGTATTCAAAGAGCTATCCATTGATTAGACATAAAACTAATGATTGTATTAAAGGTGAGAAGGGATTGGCGAAGACGACGGCAAAGCCATTGCACTACAAGAATGTGTTGTTTCATAGAGTGGTGAAGAACTTCATTATACAAAGCGGCGACTTCTCAATGGGTGAGCACTTGAACCACTCATTCATGTGATGGACATTCAATTGACACCAATTTGTCTTAGAGTTAAACAAAATTTCAGTTTTGATAATCAAATAATTCGCAAACAATTGCAGGGAATGGCAGAGGAGGAGAGTCCATATTTGGCGGCACTTTCAATGGTATGCCATTCACTGAATCACTCTTACAGTTAACCACAATATCAACTCAAATGTATTGAATGTCTTTCAGACGAGAATTTTGATATAAAACACGACAAACCGTTTCTGTTATCGATGGCCAACAGAGGAAAGAACACAAACGGATCTCAATTTTTTATGTGAGAAGACTTGATCTCAAGACTTGATCCTTTCACTCTATATATGTCTCAATGAAACCAATTGTTTGCTTACAGAACACTCAATACTGCCAAACATTTGGACGGGTATTCACTTGCATTCATTAGTCTTGTGCTGTGTATTCATCATTTGTGTCGTCCATAGAGTTCATGTGGTTTTCGGACACGTCTTGTCGGGACACGAAGTCATTAACGAAATCCAGAACCAGACCACAGATAAAGATGGCAAACCTGTGGTAGACGTCGTGATCGCCAACTGCGGTGAACTCATCCCTCAAATTAAACCTAAAGGTTTGTACACTTTTGTATGATTTGTAATTATATACCGTATATGTGTGTATTGTACCGGTAGTTAGTACCGCGTAATACCATCGATACAAATCAATTCGTGATGTTACTGTATCTATCAATGCTTAAAGTTTAAGACCACTGACTTGATTCTTAAGTTGTCTTGAACACTTAAAGGTTATGGATTATTCCTAAACCTGAACTTACGTGTAAATACAAACTGAGTTGTAGAGAAATGTCTAAATTGACACGTTTTGAGTCTATAAAGAGATGTACAGATATTTGAGAGCAGTGTTTAGTTCTGTTTTTTGGTAGAGAATTATGTTTATAAGACATGGATGTGATTTGGGTTGAGAAACAATTGAGTTCTTGAGTTCCACTAACTCTGAGTCCGTCTTTATTGGACAGTCGACTCGAAAATCAGTCCGAAAAGACATTTGCATGGATTGGGAGTCGAGTATTTACGACATGTTTTCATTGAAAGACTAATTTAAATATATACCGGTATTTGAAATTTTAGACAAAAAGAAAAAACACAAAAAAGAAAAGTCTAAGAAATCTGACGGAGAGTTGTCGAGTGATGAGGACAGGGATGGCGAACGCAAACACAAAAAGAAAAAAGAGAGTAAACATAAGAAGAATAAAGAGGAGACCAAAGATGAAGAGTTAGTGTATATTATTGGGTAATATAACGTAATATATAATATGTTGACTATTTTGACTAATTTAGTGATAAAAAAGAGGACGAATTGAATGTCGAGTGTTCTGTAAAAGCGGAAGAAATTCCCGAAATTCCTGAAAACAAATTCTTGATGCGAGACACCGAACAAACTGACGATAAGTTAGAGAAAGAGCCCAAAGAAAGGATTACACCTTCGGGCCGTCAATTCAGAGGAAGGGGCGCTAAAGTATGCTCTACTCATTGATTGCTTATATTTGAGTGAATAACTAAACCGTTTGTTTCGTGTGGACAGCACTACAGAACTCCGTCGCCAAACGGTGATCACAGGCGGTCTCGCAGTGAGACCCCTCCCCGTTGGAAGAGAGAGCAGTCGAGAATCATCTCATTCAAGGAAATCGTTGCCCGAAGTAAAAGGTCTGTCGAAAGCCAATTCTGTTTGTTTGACTCGTTTTGATTGTTTTACTGAATATTTATTTTAATTGAATTGAATAGAGATCATGAAAATGATGGCTTCGGTAGGAATTGGTCTGAAAGGCGAGACAGCTTTCGGCAGAGGTTTGTCTGCGATATTAGCTTTACTTTGAAATTGAAATTCTAAATGAGTTTTGATTGATTTCTTTATAGAAATTATAATCGTAATCGAGATTATGATAATCGACACCAATTCGTGAGAGCCGTGAGAGACGACTCCGATAACGAGAACTCATATAATCGTCAGACGTATGAAAGGAAGAGAGTGTTCACAGAAGAGCCACCAATTCGTCGCTCGAGACGAAGCCCTTCACCCGAAAAAGAAAGGCATCGAAATACTGATGCGTTTTATGCCAACAGTGACTCCGAATCGGATAGAGATTCCGTAAACGGCAGACATTTTATTAAATCTGCGGTTAAAGTGAGTGACGATATTCCCAGACATCAGAAAGAGAGACGAAATTCGGGTGAAATTCGTGACAATCAACGACATGAAAGTCAAGTCGATTTGACAGACATTCCGCTGCCCAACACTGACACCAATTCTAATAAAGTCTGAGTCTTTGAATGAACTGAAATGAAATGATTGATTAAAAATGATTTTATATTTATAGAGAAGTAATGAAAAGCATGAAAGGGATGACAATAAACGCAAGCGAAGTAATTCTCGCGAAAAACTATCCGAGAGTTCGCACAAAAAGGTGTCTCATCGCAGAAGACAGTCATCTGATTCCCATTGAATGGATATAAAATGCTAAAACATTTACAGATTTCATTAAATCAAAGCTTTTATACAGGTTTTGATTTTAAAACAATACAAAGTCTTTGTCAAACTTTTTGTTTTATTTTGAAAATATTTTTATTTAATTATTTAGATTTGCTTTCGAATGAAATAATTTGTTAAATTTATACAAAATTAATCATTTTTGACATCTAATGAAATAATAAAATGATATTCTGTTCTGTAAATTGTGTTTATTAATACTGTTTTTTAATTAAATTATAGAATTAAATAGTTTAGAATCTAAACTAAAATTGCACTGGTACCATTCTTATTTGCATTCATTACGGTACTGACAAGTTAACTAATTCTAACTTATATTAACATTCAAGCACACTTTTAGATGTACAGTATATATATAAATTTACTTGTCCTGCAAGAATATTCTGTAATTCTAAGCTTTATTGGGGATACAGTAGTTTAATCGAAACTGATCTTAAGTGTGATATGATTTTAGTGTAGGATTAAAGAAATATCATTATTGGACGCAATAAATGCGACCATTGCTGAGATAATTGCACAAATTATTACATTTGAATATATAATTTACATTTTGCCATTAATTGCATATCAAATAGTACCAGTAATCAATTATTTGTATTACAGTTATACAAATTGTTTGAAACTGGTTCATAATAACGTTACAACATTTCTTACATTCATAAGAATATTCGTGATATTCCTATCATACAATGGTTACAAGAAAAGTAACTTGATAAATGTGTAAAGTAGCATGCTAAATGAATTGCATGATATAATAGTGTGGTGTGAAAGTACGGGTGATTCGCAAACAGAGTTACTAATAGTCACTAACAATGGGGTCATTCATAGGTGTATTTCATTTCATGTTGCACTCATAGCCAGTCATACAGTGAGCGCTGCACTCAACACAACTCTATTACATAATGTGTGAAACGTTTCATACATTTAAATATCAGTAAATGTAAACAAATTGTCGTTTCTCTTGTCAACTAACCCATGGATGCCATCAATAATCCAAATCACATCCATCACAACCAATCCAAGACATCGATGACAACAATGAATGGTAGTGTCGGTGCCTGTTATGCCAAGACATCATCCAATGGACCAAAGATGTCCACCGAAGACCAGTTTAAGGCAGCCGTCAATGTCATCAAACAATTGCCTAAAAATGGTAAGCATTTGA